TTCCCTTTGCATGACACTGCAGCCATGAAACAAACAAGCTGTCGCCCTTAGCTTGCCACAATGGCTCGTAGAGTTCTCTAGTGACCGGAGTGTGTGGATTGCCATGCCTATCAGGACGCAGCGAGGGACACAGGCCACGTCGTACAGTTGGGCACGCAAAACCATTCCGGTCCAAGTGGCTATCTGAATTGGGCCTGGGCACAGACACTCCGGCCCAACGTGAAGCTACGGGGCACACGGTCGCCAGGCCCAGGCTGCCCTCACAGGCAAGCACTTTCCATATAGGAAAGTGCCCCTAGCATTCAAGCATCCAACTTGAACTCCTGTTCTGTGGACTAACAGTCACAACCAAGACACGGGCGGCATCCAATCCTCTAATCACTCCACCCCCCCTCTACTAATCATTCCACCTGTGGCTTTGTCCTTGCTGTCCAGGTTCTGACAGAACAGCCAAGGCTGCAAATGTTCAAGGTGCTGAAAGATAATCTGTGGACTTTCGTTGAGAGGCTGGTGGAAGTGCCTTGGTTCATGGGTCGCGAAGGGATATCGCAGACCCTCTTCCGTATGATATGGTGCTATGTTCCCGCAGCCTTCTCCGACCACTTTATGAGCGAGTATCAGGCGACGATCAACGAGCTTTGTGAGCCTATTTGTCTCTGATGGATCATGATTGGACATTAAAAAAAAGCAACGCTATCCGCCATGTATATGTCCTGGAATCCTTCAGGGAAGTGAATGCAGTCGACTGCATTGCCATCAGCTTCAGTGTCACGTTCCAGCAGCAGCACTCTCGGCTTACTTGGCCGAGGTAAGCGTCATCTTCCAGAGTAGCATTCTGGGCGTACTTGCCGAGTTTTAAGTGTCGTGTTCAGGGCTTCAAGCAGCGTTCTCGGCTTTATTTGCCGAGTGAGAGTGAGTATCAACTGACAATCAACAGGAACTGTGGATCTATTTGCCGATAGGATAGCAGTAGCAGTAGAGATTGCTGCATGGCAGTACACTATTCGGTAAGTCGATCTGTCGAAAGGAACAGACTATATAGCATCTCCGAGGGTTCTGAACTCACAGATCAACTGTTTCAGCACCCTCATTGTCGTGCATTGTCGTGCATTGTCATGCATTGTCGTGCATTGTCGTGCATACTGTGATGTAACCATGCGTTGACCGCGGTCGCGTTAGTTGATTGGGTCTGTAAACACCGTGCCCAATTATTGGGATGGAGCTTGTGAGATCGGAGATCGTGAGCCAAAGAGTGTTAAACTTTCCAGTTCTTCTAAGAGGGCCCTGCTGCCGCAGAAAAGGCGGCTGCTTCTATGAAGAGTTTCGCTGTACGTATTCAGCCCATCTTCCTTGAGAGAGAGTGCAAGGAATGAAAAAGGTAGACACGAACATGTTTGTGACTATCGCTATCGCTTCCGACATGATGTGCTTGCTGCATGAGAAGCGGATGATGCTATGTGGCGGTAAACCAATCACTAGCCACAGTCCTACTAGATTGCATTGCGTTTTTTCTTGGCGGGGGGGGGGGGGGGG